AAATAATCTATTTTATCGGATAATCTCGCAAGTTAAGAAGGAATCCTGCTGTTCCTAAAAGACCCTATGTATGAAACGTATAAGACTCGATAGTGTGCAATTTTTAAGAAAAGTTCACGTTTTTTACTCACTTGTTCTGTGATACAAGATTGAGCACACTGGAATAAGATGTAATCAACATATCGTCTAGGTCCACTATAAATCACTATTTTTAGCTTTGACAACCAGAACGAAGAAAACCGTGGATTAAAGAAAATTGAAGAGCACATAAAACTTTATCTATTGCAGTTTAAAAACAAACCTTACATAAGTTAATCTTAGAACATCTTACGAACTACAATGTCCATGAATACCGAAATATATTCATCAAGGATGATAACCAGTATATGAATCCTCAATATATTAAAAATTGAGGAAAACTTGATTTCATGTATAACATTCGATGCTTAGCAAATTGCATTACAAAATCACATGTATAGTATCCTGATTCAAGATAGATCGTCAAATCCGGTGGGATTCTAGACAAGTTTTCTGAGAGAAAAGATTTAATACAATCTTTTTATTCTATTTCAAAAAGAACTTCTCTATGATACTGTCGAATTCATGTAATAATCTTAGAATTTGTTTTTTGTTGATAAGCATTTTACTGCAAAATAGGATAATATAATTAGATTTATGAATCAAACGTAGTTATTATCAAGCAAATGAAGAAAGCTACAATATTCAATATTTTCAGTAAAAACGCGATATTCTGGAGTTTTTGTAGAAGATATATTGTGTCTAACTGTTTCAAAGCGAGATGCTAGTAGATAAAATTTGAACTTACACTAGCAGACCAATAAATTTATTGCATACTTCATTCATATTTAATCACATCGTCAAATGAGCGTATCAATAGAAAAATCGTCTAGCACTATCTTTTTTCCCCTCTCAGAAAAAAAAAACTAATATCAATATACATATAATGTGTCTGAAGTTTTACTAGTCTTCTTAGTTTCATCTCTACTATAAAATGTAAGTATGTCTATACAGAGGGTATGGGTATAGTATATCTTAAGATTCTTAGTTTCAATCTTGATACGAATAAGAGTACTCATAAATACATGTAATATATGTATTGTTTGTTTAGTTTCTCAATGCGAACATGCTTAATGGAGATGACATTATACATGTAGTAATAATCTTATCTGATAGTCGTTATAAGTGGATTAGATGTGTATAATATGTATTATGTGTATATTCGCATTGATGGATTTAAAAGCACGAGATTCTTTCTATTTTTAACCGTTCTGTTATCCGGAACAAAGATGAAGTTGATAGTTCTTCTTTTTGAACTGACGACGAGTTCGAAATCGAAGAGGCTCTAGACATATTTTTTGCTCGCATCAATTTCTTGTGATACACACGGATGAAAAATGAATCCATATTGCTTTGAATAGATCTCAAAAGACATTCTCCAATTATCCCTAACACTTCACTCTATCAAAATAAGAATTTGTTTCGCAAGTTAGGATGATATAGCATTTTGTGAAAACATAGGATTTATGACATATTAACATTTCATGCTTGCTTTAACATTGAAGATTCTGTATAACTTGAATAAGCATTTTCCATAAACAAAAACTGTTAGTATAATTTCTACAGAATCAAAATTTGAAACACGATGTAACTGCTATTTTTTAATCACCGGCAGATTCGTTTTATGTTGTCGATTTTGAGACACATTTTTTCACTATCGTTTTACTTAATCCCCTAGTAATGCAAAAAGCAACTAGTTCATATATTATAACTAGATGTTACTAATACACGGTCTGTGGTCATATATTTACATCTGTCAAGGTCTGTGATGCGGAAGAAGGATTTGTCCAAATTTATATCCCTTTACTTTCACATTCTTTTAGATCGTGTTTCACAAAAATGTTTTTTTTTCTTTTTCAAATGATTGTTTTTGTTCGAAGCACAAAACAGCTTTCGTAAAAAAAAGAGCATTTCTTTTAAGAATATACCTTATCAACAATTCTTGATCAATACTTATATTTTACTATTGTTGTGTATTTTTGTAATCTCTTGATGGTAGCGATTCATAGTAGATATTTAGGTTCAATCCACTATGCTATGAACATTAACTCAATGAAATTTATCTAGAAAATTTCACATATACAGCGAGACCAGCTGTAGAAAGGTCGAAATGAAAAATGTCGAAGCTAGAAAAGTATTTAAAAACGTAATTTTCCCAGAGTGGATATGAGTGTAAGTGAAGAGATGGCTAGAACTCACACCTACACCTTTTGATCACAAAGATAAACAATTTCTTATTAGTTCCTTTCTACAGCACATCTACGGATAGAAAAATTATGTTCGACTTTAAATAATAATAATCAAAAACAGAAAATTTTATAGTCAGACATCAGATATTTCAATTAAATTTAGAACATTAACTTTTTCTTATAGTTTGTTATAGAACACTATTTATAGGTATATTATTCATAAAAATAAATTGTTTAGACAGCTTTACAAAAAACTTTTCAATCTACTAAAAGCTTATATGGATTGTAAACAGCAAAGTATATTCATCAATCAATGATCATCCAGATTTCTTATTTTCATTCAAATAAACCACATACAGAAATTCCAGTTTTATAAAGAAAAAAAAAACTTTTAAGTTTCCTACATCTGTACACATAGCAAAATTATTTACAGTACAGTCGAAAAAAAAAACAAAACGAAGAAACATAGTATATATTTAAATAAAAGATAAAGTACTGTATTTTTTATACACAAAAAATGATCACAGAAATTAAAAAAAAAAAAAAGATCCAATAAATCCTTCTTCTTTCTTTTTCTTTTTTCAATCAAAACTCGGTGGACTATTATACCAATTATAAACTCTTAAACATAAAATTGGATCAATAATAACGACTGAATCATTATATTTTTTTGATGTTTGTAAACATAATCTTGATGAATCAAACCACATTTTTAATTTATGATATCGATAATCACTACTAACATTAAGTGTTATTTGGGATAAAATCATTCCCATATATGGACCAATTGGTACAAAATTTGAACAAATTAAATGTAATATACAACAATCTTTATCAATAATATATTGATTATTAGTTTGAATTATTGGTGATAAAGCTTGAATTTGAATTTGTTGTTGTTGTTGTTCTTTTGGTCGTTGTATATTATCAAAACGAAATTCAAAATAATAATTATATGCTTCACGTTGTGTTGTTGTTTGTGATCCTTTTGAATACCAAATACGTACACATCGTGATAAACGAAGAAAATGTGGATCTTGTTGTATAGCATCAGTTTTATTTAAACGATTTTGAAATAATGGATAGACTTGATATAATGATTTAATCACATGCGTACGAATGATTGATAAATGTTCATGAACAAGTATTCGACCAATTTTATTTGCTTCTGTTTTATTATGTCTATTGAAAAACAAAAGAAAAAATAATTATTTCATAGTTATTAATAGAGAAAGAAATGCACATAGTTTTTTTACTTTCGAAATAAACGCATCCAAAAATAAACGGTATTCACAACATGATTTGATGTTCGACAAATTAATGAAAATTTACCAATATCTTCAGGTGATATATACATAGCAATTATAAACCATAAATCAAGAGGATAATCTCTTCCATCGTAAATATCTCCTGTTGTAGATAGATCTTTTTTTGTACGTTGTTTTTGTTTTGATCGAACATTTGGTTGTTGAACTAAATAAAAAACAAAAACAAAACGATTATTTAAACAAAATTAAAGAAAGAAAATAAGAATCTCGAATTGGCATCAATGATCTAACACTTTTCTTTTATGAAGGATATCATTTATTGCGTGTTAAGAATTTTCCATATGAATTTAATATTCAAGCTTCTTATACATTTGTCTTAATCATCTTTTGACTTAATATTTGATCTCGAACTTTCATACTTAAATTGTTATATAATGACGAACAGCAAATTGCTGCTATTCAATTGCGTCGTTTAATTTTTTTCAAGGTTTATCTTTTCTATTTTTGTTTCGACCTTTTTGACACTTTTTTCTACTACAGGTGAATATGCTCTACTCAATCATTTATATCTTCACTAGTCATATTTTGAAGAAATTCTTCTGACAGGGCAAGACACGTTGAGTTTAGTTCATCAGTGAGCCTTTTATCGGTTTCTCATGAAACTCAGTATAATTTGTGTATATAATTAAACCAGAGAAATTCACCTTCATGTTCTTCATCAGATAATTGTGGATCATCGAAATCACTTAAATCTTTTTCATACCAATCTTGTTCATCCATTAAAGTTCGACCTAAACAAAAAATTAAAAATAAACTCATATAGTTAATTGAAGAAAAAAAAACAATTTCTTTTTTACATTCACGAGTTAATTTTGATGCTGTTCGTAAACTATTTTGAGGCGAATCTTTTGATGAGCGTGAATAATCATAAACACTAAAATCTAAATCAAATATAAATAAGTAAAAATGAATTACATAAATATTTATTAATTTTACCTTTGATAGCAAGACGAAGGGATTCTGTACTAGTGCTATTCTTAGCACCATTACGATTTTGCTTGGAAGACCGTCGAGGCATTAAATATTAATTTTAATAAAAAATCAAATATTAATAAAAGTCGAATGGGCATGAAAAACCCAAATTGGTCAAACATTAGCCGGTATCGACCATTTTTTCAGACAGATCATATTGTCATAAGAGATGGCTTCTTATGGATCGAAGCCAGCCATTCAAAATATAACAAATGACTCATCCATATATACTAAAGAAAATATTATTATTTTAAAAATTACTTGAATTTATTTAATGTTTATATTATTTTTTATTCTTATTTAAAACAATCAATAGAGGTCACTACATGTAAGTATAGATGGATATACCGTAACTAAGCAATTATAGAAAACCTTCATCTATGATGAAAGTAATCAGCTGCGAAATCGAAGAAAATTTATTTATGTTTTGAACATGCCGGAAGATACTCGAAAAACTTATATATTATCAACGATTGCCAATTATTTTGGTATCGAACATGATTCTTTATCATCTTTATCTGATCATCGTGCATTAAATAGTTTTCTTGATGATACAAAATGTCCTTTACTTTCAGCAACACGTGGTCATAAACATTCAATTGAACTAACAAATGAGGTATTTTCATTGTATTCGAGTTATTTTATCTTTTTCTAAATAGTAATTTTTAGATTAAAGTTGTTGAAGGTACGCAATGTTTGGTTTTATTTAAACTTCGACCTGATCAACTTACATCAGATAATATTTATACAAGTATATTTTTATCATCAATGGTTGATTCACCAATAGATTCACTTTATTATATGATTAAATCTGTATTTTCACCAGCTTTACGTGATAACAATAATAATAAATCAAATCAAGCTGCTAATCAACAAATTCAAACATCATTAAGTGAACTTGAACAAGTACTTCGATCATCAGGAAAGAAAAGTTCAGGTAGTTCATCATCATCAATGGCAACTATATCACATCCAAAAGATGAAATTGCTTATTGGTATGATGTTGCAAGAAATACATCAAGTAAAACAAAAGATCTTGAAAGAGCAAAATATTTTCTTCAATTATTCGATCCAGTGAAAGCAAATTTCGACAATCTTGAGAAGTAAAAGAAAAAATATTGTTTGAAATGATTTTTTTTAATTATTATTCTCCTAAATTTTCAGTTTAACACTTCTTGAACTCGTTGATGTTGTCGAAAAAACACAAGGTATGATGTGTATTCAATTTCCAAGCTGTGTTTAATATATTTAGAAGACTAGAAATGAGAATGAACATAAATTCCGAGAGAATTTTAAAAAATCGAGACATTTCAAGAAGATTAAGAAAAATGTTAATACATTTACCTGAGACAAGCCTTTGTTTTTGTTTCTAAATCCCAATAGTGCCAGTCGAATAAGGCTGGGTAATATCTCAAAAAAAGGAAAGAAAATCCTTCGCTTCCAGTAGACATACTCTCTTTAAGATCCTAGCAACCCTTATTTGAATTCAAGGATATATCCAGGCTAACAGACTTACTGAGAAGGCAATCACTCAGGGGGCTGATCAGGAGGGTTTTTCTAAAGTTAACTGGATTTAAAGGTTGTATCTTTTTTTTGGGAACCAGCAAGCAAAAAAATCAATAAAATGCTGAAATTTTGCTGTAGCATAACGGAAATTTTTCAAGATTCAGTGGTAACACTTCTTTGACATCCGTACTTAAATTCATTTACGACAGAGAAATGAAATATAATCAGTGATTGAAAAGATGTAGATAACAATCAGATGATTCTTTTGATTCTCTGAATAATTTTTAGGAGAAAATTTTTGTTTAGTAGAATGGTAAAATATTCATACAGAAATACTTTATCCATTTTTTTGTAGCGAAAAATATGATACTTAATGATATTGAAGTCTACGAACTAACATAGTGAATAATAGATATATATTTATATTTTTTCATTTCATTTCTCCTTGATGTGTATGACATTATATGAGATGAAACATTTTTTCATCAATGAAAACCATATCTCGATCGACTAGTTCTAATGCCCACTGCTGAAATATAGAAGCAATAATAATTTTCATGGTTTCGTTATTTGGAAAAATTGATATTTTGTTTCTATGATGATGAGGCAAATATCCCATAGTTGAGCTAGACATGTATTATATTAATTGATTCTTGGAAAAACTACAATATGTTTTTATCAAAAATTTTACTTTATATCACAAATCAATTTTTATTCATTGTTATACTCTTATTTTTTGCATCTCCATATTATATCTATAAATTAATTAGTACCTTTAAAAGTGAAAATGAAGTGTATTAATTTTTCGTTACTCTCCACTAAGTTAAATCTTCTATTCAAAGACGTTTATGATGATGTATGGAAACAAACGGAATATGATGAATATCCTGAACAACGTATGAAACATTTATTAACAATAACATCGAATAGTCTTGTTCAATGTGTTCAAAAACAATTATCGAATATTGACTTTTGGTCGGATTCAAAAGATTCCTTAAAAAATCGTGAACATTTACGTAATGGTGCTAACATATGTGAACGATGGTCTATTGCCGTTGAACAACTAACAAGTATCTATTGGCGTAATTATAATCCACATCCATGGAAAGGTGAACCATTTAAAGCAATATATTTAATACAATTTAAAAAACGTTTACAGCAAATATTAAGTATTCGTTCATCATATGATCAATATTTACGTTTTAATCCATCAATGAATAAAGAAAATTTCTCAGCAAATAGAGTATTTGCACCATTTTTTAATCTTAATCCAATACAATTTAATCCATATACGGATCCGCAATGGACTTCTGCAATGAATCAATTTGAAAACATGATGTCAAGTATAGATCGTGATGTAGCAAGACAATTACGTGAACATTTTCAAAAATTACGTTCAAATCCTCAACAAATACTTGTAGATTTTAAACGTTATTGTGACTTAATACAACGTGATACAATTCGAAAAGAATTAGCATCTGAAAGAGAAGTACTTTTAAGTCAACTAGAAAATGATATTAAAATATTGTCAGAGGATTTTAATAATTTAATAAATGGAGGCAAGAAATCAACAACAAAAGGAATTAATCGTACTGCTATTGCAACTGCACTTGATACAAGCCGACAAATTGAAGCGAAAGTAAACGAAAAGATTTATTTTTTGTTTTTGGTTTTCTAAAACCCAATCTAAAAGCAGTTATGAACTGTTGGAACGAAAATTCAGTTCACATGATATAATTTATAGGTCAATCATTAGTTATAGCTCATTTTTAATTTCATAATATTTCTATAACTTTGTGATAGAAACTATTTTCGTATAACTACTTATTTATGAAGAGCTTTTTACGATGAGCTTTCTCTGAATTCGGCTTAATTTCTAGAGATCTGATTCTGGGGTAAGATATTAGCAACCATAAATGTGTCTATTTCAATATTGGTACTGTAACAACGGCAACTTTCGATCATGTCCATCTGATTGCTCACCGTGTCTCACGTTAAAGATTGTGACAGATGTTGATATATAATCAAAGACCGTATATCAATAACGTCTCGTTAAAATACTACTTTGTTGCATTTCTCGAAGATTAAATCAAAAGATGATACAGATATGTGTTCCAAAATAGATAGAATAAAACAATCATTCTATAATTAGCATTAGAGCTACATCATATTTTGTGTTTTAATTCTAAAGAAATTTTGCTAATAGATTTTTAGAGGTTTTAATTAAAGTTTATTTTTTGCTTCAGGTAAATAATATAATTAGTGACGGAGAAAAATTATTAAGTGATTTATCGAGTTATTCACGTGTTGGTTCACTTGCTAAACAACTTAAACAAGATTTAATTAATTGGAGAAAAGATAAATTTAAAGAATGGTGTCAAGATACAATACGTGCTATTGATGATCCATCGCAAGCATTAAGGTTTAATATTTATTCGATTATTTTTAAAATCTTTTTTTATTCTTAAATCGATTTTTTTAGTCTTGAAACAACTGGTCGTTTAATGGAACTTGATTCACGTGATGGAAAATTACGTGTACTTTATGGTGATAGATTAGTTATTTTACTTAATGAAGTACGACAATTATCATCACTTGGTTATGATATACCATCAAAAATTATTAAATGTGCAGATGTTGGAAAGAAATTTTATCAATATGGAGTTGAACTTCAAGCTGTATGTTTTTTTTTTTTGTTTTAATTTAAAATCTCATAGAAGATTTAATAACTTTTTAGTTGGCACACTTTTATAATACAATCGATTCGGAAATGATTCCAAGTCAACAACCAATGATGCTTGATTTAGCTAAACATTTTGAACATCTTGTTAAAGATCCAAAATTATCTCGTAAGGTTTTTTTTTTTTTTTAATTTTTAATATATTTATTTTATGAATTTTTGGTTCTTTTCTTTAAAGAACGAAGTGGAAATGATTCAGCTGTTAAAATAACTTGGGATAATCCTGACCAATTATCACGTTATATATCAGTACTTCGTGAAGCAGCTGAAAAATTAAAAACTGAAAATTTAAAATTACGTCGTCATCATTCAAATATACAACAAATTGTTTGTTCATTAATGAATACAGATTTATTACGTGACCAACAAAAATGGAATGAACAAGTACAAGATATTAAAAAAATTATGGAAAATTTAATTAATGAAGGTTATTCAGCTGATAATATGAAATCATGGAGAGCTTTTTGGGATAGACAATTATATAAAGCACTTGATCTTCAATATTCAATAGGTTTAAAAACTTTAACTGAAAATTTACCAGATATTAATATAGATCTTACTTTTGGGTATTTTAAATTTATTTGAGCTGTTTCATTTGTTGATTTTTTTTTTAAATTTATTTTAGTGATAATTCTATTCAATATAAATTATCAAATTCATCACAAGAGCAGGCTAGTTTAGAAGGAATTAAAGCAACTTATTATAATGAAATGAAAAGATTTTTAACAATACCATTAATATTTAAAGGTTGTAGGGATACAACATCATCAAAGAAAAAGTTAATTTATGAAAATATTATGTTAAGACATAATGATGATATTATTACATGTTTTTATGCATCCAATCAATTATTTACTAGATTAGAACATGGTTTAGAACAATTTAAAGAATGGACTGTATTAGGACAAGTTGATATTGAAGAACTTGTTGAAAAATATTTACTTGATGTTGCTGATTGGGAAAGAAATTTTAGAGTTTTAAAACTTCGTGGACAAGATGCAGAAAAATTACCCAAGTGAGTACAAACCTTTGATTGATTATAGAAAAATGTCTAGTATTTATTCATTAATATAACATTTACTTTTTTCTTAAATTTTTTTTAGTGAAATGCGATATGATTGTTTTGTCGTTAATATAAGTCCCTTTAAATTAGCAATAGAAAATCAAATACAACGTTTACAGGATTCCATGTTAACACATCTTAAACGTTCAATAACTCGTGATGCTACTACTATCGATTCTTTTGTTAATGAAGGTCTTGAAATGTTAAATGATCGTCCAAAAAATCATGAAGAAATTCGTTTATCTTATAAAAAACATGATGAATTACATTCTAAACGTAAAGATATGTTACCATTATATGAACGTCTTGAATCAAAAAATAAATTATTACGTTCTGTAGCTGGTGGTGGTCATGAACAACTTGTACCATTACAATTAAAATTAGATAAATTTGAAACAATGATGGATTCACATATTCAAATGATAAATGAACAAAAAGATGTTTTTAAAAAAAATTTACAATCACGTTATGAAACATTTTTAAATGAATGTGAAAAAATGAAAGCACGTTGGAAACAGATTCGACCACGAGAACAAGATATGGAAGATGAAAAAAAATGTAGAGATTCATTAAAAATTGTTCGAGAAAGAGAAAAAGAAATTCAAGATATGATCAAACAAAAAGAGAAAATGATGTAAAAAAAAATTTTGTTTTTTAAATTTACAATAACGGGTGATCGAAAACTTTTTAGATAAGATGTTTGCTCATTTTTGAGATGTTTCTGATGAATCAATAGCTATGATTTAGTGCTTGGATTTAGTAATTTCTTTGGAGAGTATTAAAATTATGTTTTCAAAAGTCAAAAAAATTAGTTTGCACAGAAAAAGCTTTGTATATTTTCACTACTACAATTCCAAACTAGAAGTTGGAATTTTCATTTATATATTAGCTTGTAGATCAGAAGCGACCCTACAAAACATTTTATTTTAGGAATGCTTTTAAAATGTTTGAATAAAATGCACACCTTAATTTAATATTCGATTTCGTAGAGAAGTATTTACTCTATAAAACTATAAACTTCGATAATGTATAGCATTCTTGACAAGAGACTTACAGCATGGACAAAAATCTGTAGGTTAATTGTTAAAAAAAAATTTTTCGAATCTTTCAAAAAATCTCTCTTTACTCTTGAACAAAAATAGACAAAACATTTTTAAGCCTATTTTAAGATTCTGGTTGCAATTCATAGTTGTTGGCTCGTCTGAAATATTTTTTAGAAGACCAAAATGAACGAATATGTTTACCAGAAACGTCGACCCACTAGCTTCATCCAAACTAATGTTTTCGGCTTTTGAAAGATTATTTTCCTACTCTCGAACAAAAACTAAGAGAAAATTTCAATTTCTTAGTGCATATTCAAAAAGAGCATTCTAGTTCGTGAGTTTTGGCTGATTGGAAATACGTTGAAAGTCACAAAACATCTTGATTAAAAGCTTTTTGATCACCTGTTGTTAAGGAACACTTTGTTTCGGACTGGTTATCGTCCTCTGCAAGAGTACAATCGGTCGAGCTGAAACTTTTAATACACCAATATTATCGAAAATGATGGGATCTATCTTCGAGGAGAAAAGTTTTGAAAGCAGATCTTCAAAATTTTGTAAGGGAACTTTAAAACTTTTAGGTCTGTTTACGATCCTGGTCCTATTTTGTCAGATCTGACTTAAAGTTCTTCTGTAGATACTAGGAAGAAAATCTCAGAAAAACTTTTAAGCTTTTTAAAAGATATCAACTTCTCGATTCTTAATTTGAAAAATATGAGAAGCAGTATTTCCAAAAACTTTTTTTCGGCTGGTGTTTATCGTGGTTTTTCGATAAAAAATCAAGAAATTGATGTTTTTGAATAAGTTTTAAAACGCCTCTGAAGTTTTGTCCGGGATATTTCCATAAAAAATTTGAGCGTAACCAGTTATACTCTCATGGCGAACTGAAAGTAGTCCGAAACAGGAGCGCACTCTCAAGCACGTTTATTCAAATGTCTTTTCTTTTTAGCGAAGAATTTAAAGTTTTCGGTATGGGTGAACCAACTTTTCAAGAATTGGATGACGTTACGGCAGATGTAACACGTATTAAAAATGTTTGGGGAATTTATGAAGAATTTCAAGAAGAGTTAGCTGAATTAGCTAAAGAAGATTGGGTTACATTTCGAAGTAAAACATATCGTTTTGATGAATTTCTTTCTAATTGGCAAGAGAAATTAAGACAATTGTCAAATAATGAATCAACTAAATCATCAAAAAAACATTCATCAAGTAATATGAATGTTCGCATACAACAAGATATTGAAAATTATCGTTTAACTACACCTTTATTTAAATGGGTTAGAGGTGAAGCTTTATCACCTGATCATTGGTTAGAATTATTTCGAATATTGGAAATACCACGTGGTATTACATTAGAAAAATTAACATTTGGAGATATTTTAAGAGCTAAAGATAAAATTATAAAAAATTCAGAACAACTTAAGGTCTGTTAATTGAAAAATAAAATGACTAAGAAAACAAAAATGTTTTTTTTTCTTTTGCTATTGAATAGGATTTGAATGCTCGTGCACAAGCTGAACACACAATTCGTGAAGCTTTACATGAATTAGATAATTGGGGTGCTGGTGCACAATTTTCATTAACAGAATATATTGATACAAAACAACAAAAAATACAAATAATTAAAGATTGGAAAGATTTATTTACACAAATTGGAGATAATCAAAGTCTTTTGTCTTCATTAAAAGATTCACCATATTATAAAAATTTTGGTAAGATTTTTTTTTTCGAATAAGGACAATAAGTTTTTGATTAATCGATTGATTTTCAAATGTCAGAGCATCATTGACTAATACATATATTGTATTAGCAAATAACGAAATGTTATGAGTACTTTTTTTCAAGCGAGAAATAGGGATACATCGGTTGTCTTTCCTGCATACACAATAGTGATTTCATAGATAGGTTCTCTAATTCGCTTTCTTTTAGTTATTTTAATGCTTGCAAGGAAATCTTCTCATTGGTTTACACGGGTTTTGGGTAATACTTTGCATATATGTGGGGAATCTTGTTGAAAGAAAAAGTCTTAGAGGATTTCAACTAATGTGGCTTCTTTCGTAGGGATAAATATTTTCAATTTCATATTCGGAGAGAACTCATATCAATAAAACTTGTGAGAGTGATGTCTTTACATGGAAAGAAACATTAATTTCGATTAAAATTTTCAAGTTCTTCTAAGAACAACTACAGTTATCTGCTGGCAAAGTTTCAGATCAAAAATTTTTAATAGAATTTTTTGGAAAAAAATCTGATTATCAGTTCAAAATTCAGTTAAAAAAGTTGTCATTTTTTACAAGAATGTCATGGACAGGTGTACTTTTAAGATTTTCTTAGTTTAGTTCATACCTATTTTTGCTCATGTTTTTTGAAAGAATGAATATGTTCATCTCTATTGAAAGAAGTCGGATTAGTCCAAATCTTCTTTGGGCTTTTTCTTATGATAAGACCTCTCACATGTACTCAAAATATTAGCAAAAACGACCTGGATCTGGTAGAGATAGAAATATGCTGAATCAGGTTCGAAACCGGGACCACAAGAAAAAAATCTACCGAGACTGGTACTCAAGTTAACAGTAAAATATTCTATGGTTTTAGGAAAATTATCCTATAAGACATACAAATTAGAACACAATTCAAGAGAGCTTACCCAAAAGTGTTTGTTGTCGACTAAATAAATCCAAAACACAATGGGTATTGAAGAATTATTTTAGATGTAATTCAAATACATTCTGACACAGTTTTCTCTAGATCTGGACCAGAATCGTCATAACTGATAGTAGAAATAAAAATTCTCTCAAAGAATATGTTCTATAGGAATTCCATAAGTTTTAGTGGATATTCATTATTACTTATCGAATAAGATAAATAGAATCCAACTAGAATCAAATTCATTCAGGAAAGTAATTTTGATTAAAATGAAAATTAAATTGATTTAATACAAATGTTCATATGTTTTTGCTTTAGAGGGTCAAGCACAAATATGGGAACAACGTTTAGGAATTCTTGATGAATGTCTTCATACTCTTAATCAAATACAACGTAAATTTGTTTACCTTGAACCCATTTTTGGCAGAGGTAAATAAAGAAAACAAAAGCAATGTGATAATTAATTTTTTTTAAAATTTCTTAGGTGCTTTACCAAAAGAACAAGGTCGATTTCGTGGTGTTGATAAAGAATTTCGTGAAATAATGTCTGAAATTTCATCTAATCCTCGTTTGGTTATATTCGCGCAACGTAAAGATTTATCAAATATATTAAAATCTATGCTTGATCAATTAGGTCGTTGTCAAAAAGCTCTTAATGAACTTCTTGAAGTAAAACAAAAAAAAAAAACATTCTTATTTCAATTGTCAGTGAATCTTGCTTTATTTATTTAGGAAAAACGTTCTATATTTCCTCGGTTTTATTTTATTGGTGATGATGATTTATTAGAAATACTTGGTCAATCAACAAATCCAACAGTTATTCAAACACATTTAAAAAAACTTTTTGCTGGTATTCATACAGTTCAATTTGATGAGACAAATCAAAATATTCTTGGTATGCGTTCATTGGATGGTGAACTTGTACCATTAACAAAACAAATTCGTATAACACCATCAGTTGAAGAATGGCTTAAAGAATTATCAAAAGAAATGGTTAATACATTACAGCAATTACTAATTAATGCTTTACAAGAATCTCGAAAACAATTAGGACAAATACCAATTGAAAAATATCCATCACAAGTAAAGAAAACAAAATTCATTCTACAGAAATATAAATAAATGATTTCGTTTTTCTTCGTAGATTTCATGTTTAGCTGAATTAATAACCTTTACGGAACGTTGTGAAGAAGCTATAAGAAGTGGACAATTAGATAAATTTCATGTTGATATTAAACAAGTATTGGAAAAATATACAAATGTACAAGTCACAACTGATTCAATAGAAGGTCAAGTAACTGATTTAAAATATAAAGCATTAATTATGGATACTGTTCATAATATGGATGTTGTACAACAATTAACTGATGGAAAAATTCGAAATATTTATGATTGGGTATGGCAAAAACAATTAAGATTTTATTTAGAAAATAATAAAGCTATTATAAAAATGGTTGATGCGCAATTTAATTATACTTATGAATATCAAGGAAATGCACAAAAACTAGTACATACACCTTTAACTGATAAATGTTATCTAACATTAACACAAGGAATGCATATGGGATTTGGTGGAAATCCGGTATGTACTGGCCTATTTTTGTATTAATTTTACTTATAATTATTTTATAAACACAATCTAAAAGGAGTTTTGAAGTATATAGCCTAGAAATATCTCACTTCACAGATCATTAGAGACATTACCATGGAAACATGACAGATCGTCACAGACACGTTAGAAAAGATTTATGACAGTTATCCTAACAACTAGAAGATGGGATTGATTTGGTTCGCAGTATCACAAATCAACTTTGTTTTAAACTTTGAAAGAATTGAATTGATTCCATTTTTGTTAGCCATAACGTATTGCATACATCCTCCGAAACGTCTCTCTTTCATCATACATACATTATCAACATTCTTCCGCACCACGAATCACAGATTGTGGTGTGAGCCTTATTCAAGTTCTCTCTCTCTCTCTACTGGAGAATTCAGTAACAATGTCTCCCAACATAGGTAGAAGAAAACAATCTCCCTGTAATTAACATAAGCAGCTATTTTCCGTTTCATATTTTAATCCTGCAGGGGTTTTACTAACAACTTTTTATTTAGTATGGACCAGCTGGTACAGGAAAAACAGAATCAGTTAAAGCTCTTGGATCAACATTTGGACGTCAAGTACTTGTATTTAATTGTGATGAGGTAATCCTTTTAAATTTATAGACAAAAGAAATTAATTTTGTTTTATCTAGGGTATTGATGTGAAATCAATCGGTAGAATATTTATTGGTATATGTAAATGTGGTATGTTTATTAATATAGATTGAATGATTAGTGAATTGTTTTTTTTTATTGTTTTTTAAGATGCTTGGGGATGTTTCGATGAATTTAATCGTTTGGATGAAGCTGTATTATCAGCTGTATCAATGCAAATTCAAGTTATTCAAGATGCTTTAAAAAGCGGTGCATCCTCATTAACATTACTTGATAGAAAAATAGAAATAAATCCAAATTCAGGAATATTTGTTACATTAAATCCAGCTGGAAAAGGTTATGGTGGTCGATCCAAATTACCTGATAATTTAAAACAATTATTTCGACCAGTAGCTATGTCAAAACCAAATAATGAACTTATTGCTGAAGTTCTTCTTTATTCAGATGGATTTAAAAATGCAAATATTTTAGCAAGGAAACTTGTTGCATTATTTAATTTAAGTAAAGAACTTTTAACAACACAACAACATTATGATTGGGGTTTACGAGCATTAAAAACAGTTTTAAAAGGTTGTGGAACATTGTTAAGAAATGCTAAAGCTAATAAAAGTATGTTAAACGAAAATTTATTAGATTATTTATTTGTTTACATAATAAGCTTAGTAAATGATTTGCATTATAAAGAAAAGCTCTTAGACATTTACAATAACTTCAAATATTTTCTTATCAATGTTTATTAGATTCAATATTAATTAGACGTATATGAAAAATCATCCTGAAGACTCGGAATTATAAACCACATAACAGTTTCAATATAAGGAAAATGAGTGATATACCTGGAATTCGAAAGTTTGACTATTCGTGGTTTGCAATAATTTTCAATTAGAAATAAATCTAGCCAATAAACTATCAAACATGCGGGGTTCATCGATCATTTATATTGATTAAATTTTTTTGACTAACTATAAATCCATATCCTCTCTATTCTATAGCAACAGTATAGGTTACTTATTCACACTTGTAGTTTAAGATACTGATTATACCACTTGTAATTGACTAGAAGATATAGATAGATCGACGATGATCTTCTTCTGACTTAGGTTTGTACCCACACCTAAAACCCATTTTTTATAAGGATGAACTGGATTTGCAAGGTTCCGATAATAATATATAATAAATATCTTACATATGAAGTTATAAAGAAATTTGTTTCACTGATGGAGTCATGGTACCTAAAGGAATTCAATGTCTAAAACACTTAAACAATCAATTATTAACAATATAATAAAATATAGATCATATTAAATGACAAAGTTCAGGAGTAAGCAGTCATCTACGACTCTATTTATTTAACCAGACATCTGAAAATCAGTGACTGAATCAGGATTTTTAGTTAGATATGGGAGTGGGAGATGAGGGGCTTATTTTCCTTTGTGCTGTAAACCGAAAATATTCATATTTCTAATGAATTCACTGATATAAACATGTGCTTAAAACTTTTTCAATAATGAAATTTTATTTATTTTAATTTAGCTGATATTTCCTCAAAATATGAGTCTCAATTAGTTGTTCAAGCAGCTCGTATTAATACATTATCAAAATTAACTTTTGGTGATTCAAGACGATTCGATGGTCTTTTACAAGATATATTTCCTGGTATTGATTTACGAGATATTGAATATGAAAATTTACGACAAGCTTTACATGAAGTTTATAAAGAACATCATTTATTAATCAATGATATGCAAGTAAGGATAAATTTTCTGACCTTTTTTTTTATTGCATATTATTTTTTGTTTTTAATAAAATTAGATTCGTAAAGCTCTTGAACTCTATGAACAACTTCGACAACGAATGGGTGTTGTTATTGTTGGTCCATCTGGTTCAGGAAAATCAGTTCTATGGAAAATGCTTCAACATGCCATGCAAAAAACAGATCAAACTGTACGAACGTATGTTATGAATCCAAAATCAATGCCAAGAATACAATTACTTGGACATATTGATATTGATACAAGAGAATGGTCTGATGGAGTTCTAACAGCAGCATCACGTGCAGTTGTTAAAGAACCACTTGGTAAAAGAAAATCTCTTTTTTGTTTTTGTTATCTGTATTTTCTAAATGAAAAAAAAATATATTTTATTTAAAAGAAATTCAATCATGGATTGTATGTGATGGTGATGTTGATCCTGAATGGGTTGAATCATTAAATTCTGTACTTGATGATAATCGTTTATTAACAATGCCTTCTGGTGAACGTATACAATTTGGTCCTAATGTTAATTTTCTTTTTGAAACGCATGATCTTAGTTGTGCATCACCAGCAACTATTTCTCGAATGGGAATGATTTTTCTCAGGTTTTATTTTTGTATTTTTTTTTCACTCCTTACAAAACAATTTTCATGTTGATCTTTTTTTCAATTTAGTGATGAAGATACAGATGTAAAAGCTGTTGTTAAATCTTGGTTAGCTAAAGAACCACCTGAAACACGTTCATTAACAGAACAATTAATCAATGATTACTTTTTTGATGCATTTAATTGGATTATAAAACAAGGTGATTTTGTTGTTGCAACAACATTAATTGGTACGGTTCTTAATGGTTTATCACATTTACATGGTGTAAATGATAAATCATTATTTACTTTGGGTTTAATTCGTGGTTTAGGTGGAAATTTAAATGAAAAAACAAAAGAAGCTTTTGCACGTGAAGTATGTTTTAAGATGAATTTTGGAGAAAAAATATAGATGTTGAGCTTAGTCTAATAAGAGAAGTTTCTCAACTGTTCAATTGCTTTTTTAGTTGAGACTATGCACAATATGTAGATTCCATTGAGCTACTAATACCTTGAAAGAAGTTCGTTCTCTAAGATTATTGATATGGAGATACTGGACTCTTACGGTATTCTTTACATAAATGCCGTATTCCAGAAGAATTTATCTTCAAATTGCGACTTGAAACTTTACCTAGAGATATGCCTTCACAACAATAATTTATTGTAAATGTTTCAGATCTTTTGACCTACATCTGTCCTACAATAAGAATATAAAATCTGCTAGTTGATATGAGTGATGTGAAAGGCGGATTATTACCATAGTTATATACTAGGATCGAAACAGCAACCAGATCTGAAATATTCACAATAAACTATTCTCATTCTAGCCTGTCTCTATATAAAGTTTCAAGCCGAAATTCGAAAGCAAATTTTTTTGGACTGCGACGTTTATTTCAAAGATACTATAGAAGTCTAGTAACTCTATAGCAATACACTAAAGGTACGAACTCTTTCCATAGTATTCATAGCTTATTTGAATCTACATAATGAACAAAGTCTCGACTAAAAACGTTTGAACAGTTGGAGAACTTCTCTCGTAAAACCTGAAGAACTAGACTGATTATAAATCAAAACTGTGGTGAACATGAACGGAGGAAAAAGTTATTAGTACAATCATTGTGAGCTATGATGCACTCTTAGTACATATTCGAGGTTAAAAAAAATAACCTCAATTGATCTCTTAAAAGAATAAGAAAAACAGCGAACTCCTCTTTGTAATAGAAGACTTCTGTTAATTAAATAATTTGTTGCAAAATTGAAACTTTAACAAACAGATGTTTACATCAAAATATAACTAATTATCAGAACTTCCATCTGAAAAGTCTTAAAAGACTGAAATCAGCATTATTTCTGGCCTTTTAAAACGTTGAAAAATCTCTTTCTAAATCCTTAAAATCGTTTTGTTCATTTTTTCAATAACGAGGGGTGCGTGAGAAATTAAATTTATCTCGTTTTATTTTTATGGTTTTCAAGCTATGATGACCTTCATATTTTTTACACTTTAGTCATTTTGTATGTTTGTTAGATATGCGTGTGTCTGGATGGACATGTTCCTTCTCCTACAATCGACACCCATATTCTATGTTGAAAAACGTTTTTAATAAGAAACTATGAAAAACAATGAGACACAATGGAAGACTTGGGAGTCTTTCATTGCGTGGAAGACTTTAGATTTAAGGTTGTAAAATGGGTTTCAATATGTTCTTAGATAAACCAATGGTAGCAGAATCGTTTATAAGCATCAAATTCTAAAATTTATTTTAACCATTATTATACTTGTGTTACAGGCTTCTTCGAATGATATAATGTTCATAAAACATAAAAATTAATTTTCATTTGTCTAGGTGTTTAACTTAACTGGTGAACGTCCACCAAATCCAAGTAATTTATTATCAACAAAATACGATGAAAGATCAAAAAGCTTAACAACTTATAACAATGATGTAATTTTTCTCATTTTTTTTCTCTCGACATATTACTTTCAATATCATATTTAGGAAAAAACTGATCTTAATGTTGATAATTTTACAAATATGTACGATCTTCCTGTTATTCGTACTATTGATATTCAATGTTATCTTGATTCACTTCTCCCATGGCTTAATAATAAACATCGAAAACCTTTTCTTGTTGTTGGACCTGATGGTTGTGGCAAAGGGTAAACATTTTCAATAATGAAATCTTTGTTGTTGATATATACTTTTTATTTTTCAGAACACTTCTGCGTTATTGTTTTCGACAATTACGTTCAACACAAGTCGCAATTTTACATTGTAGTTCTCAAACATCTCCAATACATGTTATACAAAAATTGAATCAATCATGTATACAAGTTTCATCAACAAATGGTCGAACATATCGACCAAAAGATTGTGAAAATCTTATTTTATATGTTAAAGATATTAATTTACCTAAACTTGATAAATGGGGTACAAGTCAATTAATCGAATTTTTTCAACAAGTAAAAAAGTGTTTACAAGTTTTTTTTTAATTATCAAAAGTTTATTTTTTTATTTAGATTTTAACTCATAATGGTTTTTATGATAATAACCTTGAATTTGTTAATCTTGAAAATATTCAAATAGTTGGAAGTATGAATCCATCGAATACACTTGGTAGACATAAATTATCAACACGTTTTACATCAATCGTTCGAATATGTTCAATAAATTATCCAGATGAAGAACAATTACAAATAATTTATGCTAATTATTTACGATCCATACTTCAACAACAATTACCTAATCATAGAGTTTGGTCATCAAGTGGAAAAATTAATCAACTGGCTTTATCAATGATTCATATTTATAATGAGGTTTGAAAAAGAAAAACAAATATTTTATTCATGAAAAAGTGTTTTTTTTTTTCTCTTAGTTGAGATCTCGATTTAGTCAAGATACACATAGTCATTATTTATTTACACCAAGAGATTTAACACGATGGTGTTTAAGTTTATTACGTTATGATTTTTCATCGATAAAAAATGATGCTACAGCTGAAAATTTACTTGAAATATGGACTTATGAAGCATTTAGATTATTTAAAGATCGTTTAGTTGGACATGATGCACAAGAAAAATTCGATCAAATAATTGATAAAACATTAAAAAGTGATTGGTCATCAAATGCTTTAGGATCATTAAAAGGTAAAATTGAGAACGAAGATACTGATACATAGTACAAGTTCTAGTAGAAGAGAGAGAAAGGCTTTCTTACTCGACAAAAGATAAACATCCTTGTCTTTTTGCTACCTTGCGATGGAAGGTAGTACCTAGTGGTAGAATTAATACTTCGATATCTTCCCTACAGTTATGACTAGCTATAGTTCTAGATAGAGAAGGGTCAGCCTAGCATAGAGTTCTCGTGCTTAATAGTCCGAGCTCTCCATACGCTTACTAACCATAAATGCAAGTGTCTGTCACAACATAGTCGGCCTACTACGTAATAGATAATCCGAGGCAAACAGTCGTTAGTGACTTGTCCAGAATCATTGCATGATTGATGATACCGATTTTTGAATAGATCATCTGGTGGATACATGTCGAATAATGTAGCCACTTCATCTCAGTGACACGACTTCCTAACTGATAAGAGTAAAGTAATCAATAGCTTAACTAGAGACGATAATACCAGGTAAATAATTTCTTTTCATTATTGAAAATTCGTTGGCTAAGAGTAAAATATGATTACATCATTAAGAATTATTTTATTATACGCCAAAACACATATTCTATTAAAGAATTATTTTCTAATGATTTCGGTTCCGATCTAGGTTCCAACCTAGAGAACATTGTTCTAGAATTAGTTCATATCACATCTAAAAAACTCTTTAATACTCGGTTTTTGATTGATTTAGTCGACGACTAGTACTTTTTTGGGTAATTTCTATTGAATTATGTTCTGATTGATGATTTATAAGATGATTCGTTTAAGACCATAGAATATTAATCTATACTTTTTAGTTTCGGTTGGAACAGTTTTTTTCTCAGGGTCCTGACTATCGAGATCGGGATTAAATTTATTCTGGCATATCTCTAATCGAAAACAATGTTTTAATGCGAATAAATCTGTTAATACAGATCGATTTCAAGTTATTATACACAACTTTCATACTTTTTAATCAGTTATATTTTTTTCTCAAGAGTTCGGTTCTAATTATAGTAATAACAAGCGAAAGGAAAATATTGTTATTTCAGATATTGAAAGATTTTATTTCAACCATATTTTTGCTAATATTGAATCAATTTATTTAGATTCATATTTTGTCTCTTGGGTTATTAGTAGCGGTCGTCGAACTCTTCCTCCCGCTGGTCGTGTATTATCACGATTATCTAGTAAAGAATTGATACCACTAGTGGAACGTGGTACAGCTCGATATCGAGCTGAATATCGTGATACAAATGTATTTCTATTTCGTGAAATTCTTGATACAATTGTTCGATGTGATCGTGTATTAACAACACCTGGTGGTTCATTATTATTAGCTGGTAGAAGTGGTGTTGGTCGTCGTACAGCAATTGGTGTTGTTGCTTCAATGAATAATATGAAATTATTTTCACCTAAAGTTAGTCGAACATATGGATTAAAACAATTTAAAAATGATTTAAAAACGGTTTGTTTGTTTTATTTATTTTCTTACAATAAGTTTCTATTTATTATTTAATTAAAAAAACAAATAGATTTTGCAAAATGCTGGTGTTGATGGTGAACAATGTATTTTATTAATGGAAGATTATCAATTTATTGAATCAACATTTGTTGAATTAATTAATAGTCTGTTATCAGCTGGTGAAGTTCCAGGACTATATACACCTGATGAATTAGAATCCATATTATCTCCCTTACGTGAAGAATCATCACAAGAAGGTTTTCGTGGCACAATGGTTCAATATTTTGCACAAAGTAAAATCTAAATAAAATAAAAAATACCTTTTAAATTGTATTTTATTTTTATAGAAGTCAAAACTAATTTACATATTGTATTAGTCATGGATTTTACTCGACCAACATTTACAATAGCTTGTCAAAGTAATCCAGGTTTTTTCAAAGAATGTTCTGTACAATGGATGGAAGGATGGTCTGAAAGATCAATGTTAAAAGTAAGAAAGACAAAGAAAAAAAAAAAACTTTTCTTTTTCAAACAATATTTCAATTGTTGTTTGTTATTAGATTCCATCAATGTTATTTTCAAAAGATCGTTCTGATGATCATATGAAAGGAAATCTTACAGGAAAAATTGATTTAGATGAAGAATTATCAAAATTATTTTATGCGATTCATAAAACAATGGAGAAAAAATATTTAACACCAAAACGTTATTTAACTTTACTTGAAACATATCAAGAAGTTTATTTAACAAAACATCATGCCATTAGTAAACGACAGCAACATTTAAAATCTGGTGTTTCGAAATTAAGTGATGCAAGAAAAGTTGTTGATGATTTAAAACGAAACGCAGAAGTTAAACAAAAAGAACTTGCTGTTAAACAACATGAAGCTGATGAAGCACTTAAACAAATTACGAAAAGCATGGCTGTAAGTTTTTTTTTATTAAACTAAATCAAATTTTTTTTAAGACAAAAAGTGAATTTTATACAAATCTATTTTCGATTCTTTTGCAGTTTGAATAATCATGTGAAGTGAAAACTAAAGGATGTCCTATAAGTCAACTGTGAAATAAAACTGTAAAAACTTTCCAATGATTCACATTAGATTTTTCATCATTTCACAGGATATTTTTGGAAGTTTTATTTTATATGATTTCATCAAAAGCATATTTATTCAAATGATCGACATTAATACGTGGGAGAAAACAACAGGAATTTCGATCTAGAAGTCTTTTGAAGTTACATGATGTTTTCTGTCTTCCCTCGCAGTAATACTTAGGCATGAAACTATATACTTCGAAACATTTGGAAAAGACCACTGTGATTTCATCATCGATTCTTATTTACAAATGAGTAAGAGCTTTTATATAAGTTTTAGTGCAAAATGTTATGTTGATATTTAAATAAGAATCGATGATGAGAACATACTGATCTCAGAACAAGCTTTATACATTGATTTTCTACATATATGCTCCAAAACATATGGTTTTATGTCTGAGAGTAGATATCGATAATATGAAACAATAGTTATAGATAAAGTCATATGAAATAAAACTTCTAAGAATATCCTATGAAAGGATTAAAGCTCATGTGAATTGCTTGGATCGTTGCAGAATTAATGCGGTTTTATTTTACGGTTGATTTTTTGGATACCCTATAGTGTACAGACTTTTTACAAAAACAAACACTTGCATATCGTGTTCTATAAAGTGTTTTACTGTATGTGCCTTTTGGAACTTGCTCTGTATCATGTTTAATAGCTTAGGATGAGTACTATAGCATACTATAATTTAATATTTCATTTGTTCATCTTTAGACGAAATAAAAGATCCGTACAACGGTAGTTTCAACACTTGGAAATTCTTAATTCAGCAAAACGTTCGAGTTCATTGATATTTTTAGGTTTTAGTTTTTCCGTATTGTGTTTTACAATGGAACAAATATTTTTCGATTGGATTGGCGTCTGGGCTACTACATGAGGTTTTAACATTTGAATACTCTTTAGTAAAACATTTCTGTAGTCATGCTGATGAACATGAAGACTTATTATCAATAAAGAAATCGATGTTTGATTCGTTTTCGATAACTTCTGATTTATTTCTTAAAAAGAGATTTCATTACTATGTCAGTTATATTATCCGACAGCTTTATTTCCTCTATTACACTTAGGAGATTGGTCTATAATTTTCAGCCTGATATTTGAGTCAATGTTTTTTTTTTGTTTTGATTTGTTCATTTTGTATAGATAGTTCTCAGTTTTTAAATGAGAATTAACAATAAGAAAAGTGTTTCGAAAAAATTTTTAATTTGGTGCAAGTTATTTTGCAAAGATCCATAAAGGTTAAATGTACTGATCTGAATACTTCAAGAAATTCTTATCTATGAAATGACAACTAATGAAAGAAATTAAAAATTAATAATTTCGAAAATGATTTTTTTGCAATGAAGCTTTTTATTTTGTTTTATTAATAGGATGCTGGAACACAAAAAGTCGAAATGGAACATCTTGCAGTTAAAGTTAATGAAGAAACTGTTTTCATTGAACGTCAAAAACGTGAAATTGATGCTGAATTAGCCGAAACTCAACCCTTAGTTGATCAAGCTAAACAAGCTGTCGGTAGTTTACGATCAGAAACTTTAGTTGAAATTCGTTCGTTACGTGCACCACCAGATGTAATTAAAGATATTCTTGAAGGTGTTTTAAAATTAATGGGTGTACTTGATACATCATGGACATCGATGAAAGCGTAATTTCTTTTCTTTTTCATTTTCGATATAAGAAAAGAAAACTTTTTGATTTTTTGTTTAGTTTCTTAGGTAAACGTGGTGTAAAAGAAGAAATAATGAATTTTGATCCTCGAAATGTAACTGTTGAAAATCGTGAATCAGTTGAACAATTATTACGTAAAAAAGCTGATTCATTTTCTCAAGAAAACGCTTCTAAAGCATCACAAGTAGCTGGTCCACTTGCTGCATGGGTCGTAGCTAATGTTAAATATTCAAAAGTTTTAGAAAGAATTCGTCCATTAGAAGAAAAACAAAATAAATTAAAAAAGTAAAAAACAAGACCTTCTCGGATAAGATGATCCCTTTCATTTGAAAGACCACGTATACGGCTCGGTAGAAAAAATCGTGTCGCATCGAATGGTATATAGAAAATTGCTTTTTCATCAAGTTTTAACATACTGAAAAATTATATACCTTTCATGGACTATTATAGCAATTTTGAGTGACATGATCAAATATAAAGACGTTCTATGTCTGCGAACCAATCTATATTAAATTTTGTTTAAAGTTACTTCGATAGAGTATATTGAATAATCCTGACAATAGCTATTTTCGTAATCAAAACCTTAGCATTGTTACTAGCTTCTGTAATTTTTGATTTTTATGATGTTTTAAAGTCTTCGATCCTGCTTCTCAAGGCAAAGACAATCAATTGTGTAACTTTCTCAGAAACTATGTGCCACCAAACTCTGTAATTATATTGATTAGTTGTCCACTGAATTGATGTGCTTCATTGTCAAATCGATCAATCAGTGCCTTCAAAAGTTCAATTTTTATGTCTATTAATAACAAATTAATCGGGTCCTATCATTTGACATTTAAAGATCTTTCGAAAATGACATAAAAAAAAGCTTTTTGCTTTTTGGATACCTGGAGAAGATACGAGAATCGGCTATTATAAAAATTAGTTTTTATTTTATATTTTTTTCTCACGAATTGAAGTTCTGAGTAGCCAGGCATGATTAGAGTACGAGGCTTTATTAGATTCAGTGTGTGATCAGTCTCTTATGAGAATAGAAAATTGTGCAGATCCCGTACTACACTCTAGCAACCGGACAGCAAAAAATGTTTTGCTATTTTTGAAAGATCTACATACGTCAAATGATGGGGCATGATGAACTTATCAATTATAGATAGCAATTTTTTCACTCAAAATGTACGTATTGCGAAACAAGTTTTCCTGTCCTTAACAATCAAAAGTTAAGCTTTTTTTGCGCACTGATTGATCGATTTGATCATGCGCGCACGCCAGTTTCGAGGAGAGTCAATCTGTACACTGATAGACCTCCTTCAATAGGAAAATGGTTTCTCAAAATATAGAAACTTGATGAAAAAGCAATTTTCTATTCGATGCATCATAAATTGATCTACAGAGAGGTATAGATAGCTTTGCAAATGAGGACTGATCATCTTATCCGAAAGAATCATTTGGTTAAAACAAGACAAAAAAAGACATTAATAATGTAATTTTTTTCTAGGAGTTTAGAAAATTCAACAAGAAAAATGGAAGAATTAAGTCATGAATTAAAACAAGTTGATGATAAAGTTGAAAAATATCGAACTACATTTGAAAAGTTTGTTAGAATTTCTATTTGATTAATTTTTTATTAATTGAATTTTTTAGAACAACGAATGAAGCTCAACGTTTAAAAGTTGATTTAGAAAAAGCTAAAGAAACAATTGAAGCTGCACAAAATCTTGTCGGAAAACTTGAAGGAGAATTTTATCGGTAAGAAAAGACTAATTATTATTATTATTTTATTGATTAATAAAACAATTTTGTTCTTTTCTTTTTTTTTTAAGATGGTCAGCTCAAGTTAATGATTTAAATGAACAATTAAAAATTTTACCTAAACTTTCTTTATTATCTGCTAGTTTTATAACATATTTAGCTAGTCAATCTGAAGATAAACGTCTTAATTATATGAATAAATGGAAACAAATATTAAATGTTGATGAAAAATTTGATATAAGAAAATTTTTATCGACTGAAAGTGAACAATTAGTATGGAAAAGTCAAGGTTTACCATCTGATGAATTATCAATGGAAAATGCCATGGTTATACTTCGTTCACAATTATGTCCTTTTCTTGTTGATCCATCATCACGTGCAACTGATTGGTTGAAAACCCATTTAAAAGATAAAAAAGTTGAAGTTGTCAATCAACAGGATAATAATTTTACAACACAATTAGAATTAGCTGTACGTTTTGGTAAAACATTAATTGTACAAGAAGTTGATGGTGTTGAACCAGTACTTTATCCAATATTACGAAGAGATTTAGCTTCCCAAGGTCCCAGACATGTCGTACAAATTGGTGATAAAATTATTGATTATAATCCAGATTTTAGAATTTATTTGACTACACGAAATCCAACACCAGAATTATTACCAGATATGGAAGCTATTGTTAATGAAGTCAATTTTACAACAACACGTGCTGGTCTTACTGGACAAGTAAGAAGAAATCTGTCACAAGATAGAATCAATTGAAAGTTATTAGAAATATTTACTGAAGCATAAAGATCCATTTTTTAAAATAATGCTTTCATAAAGATATGATCAACCTATACTGATGTTCAAAATTAATCTTACATTTAATCGATCATCTTATTTTTCTAATATGTCGAGATGGTTTCCAGCGATTGAGTTGCGATGTTCGCTGAATTATAGATCCATTTACATAGTTTATCAGCTCTTTATGTCTTACATTTACTATGCAAGACTATATATGTTAAAAATAATGTACTTCAGTTTCGTTCAAAATCGCTCATACACCAAATGCAAAAATATTAAGGAAATCTTACGACTAAAAAGTTCGTCTTTTATCCTTTCAACTGAGAAATAGCTTTTTTTTTTGTCCAATGAAATGAAACTTCGTAAAAACATTTTTCAGATGTCTTATTTTCATTGAAAAAGATGAAATATGAAGTATATATTCAGCTGTTTTGAACACAACCGAAATATATCACTTTTAGTATTTCTAGTCTAACAGAGTAAATGCATGGCATAACAACCTAATGAACTATGAAAATGAAGCTATAATTTAGTGAACACTGTAACTCAATCGATGAATATCATATGGACATATTAGAAAAACAAGACTATCAGTTAGATGTACGACAAGATTTTCAGCATATTCTATACGAGTCCTTTAAATCTAATTCTGCTTTTATGTAGTATTCGTTTCTTGGCATATTACAGGCCGTTATATGTTCTAATTTTTGATTGTTCATCAGCTGATGTTGTATGTCTCGTCATACTTTCAATTTTACGTGAAGAACTTTGATTATTTTGTCGGAATATGTCCTGAGTGAATTAGGAGTGTTAAAGATTCAGATTAACGAACACAGAACTCTACTAAAAGAAAATACTGTAGAGTAAACTCAATTTTTTTTTCAGTTAACACAAATGATCGAACTCGCAGGTACCCTTCGCTCCTTTTGTGAACCAAATTTTTTGTTTCATTGCTACTGTACAGTCTGAAGTAATATCTATCTATTGAATACATTTTGCAATCCAAAAATTGTCTTTAAATGTTAAAATAATTCGAGAAGAAATCAAATGTACATAATAGAACTAGCGAAAGTTGTATATGGTTTTGCATTTTTATCATCTAACGAACCTTGTCATGAAAAAAATGTAGAAACACTCGCGTTTCTTCGGCTCAGTACAGTTGACTAACGAGGAAACCCCACTAACAGATTAAAAGCTTTTGGGCTCATATCTTGGTCATAAATAGGACTAGATGAGACTAGAAGAATCTCAAAAGAGTTTGCTTTCATGGGTTTATTAGATTGAGATATGAATGTTCTAAATTTAGGACCAGAAACGTAAATAAACTATGTTTAGTATCTGAATTACAATATTGTAGTATTTCTATAGAAAGCACTCTTTATTTATTCTTTTATACTGGTTCTGGGTGCGGGTTGTGACTCGAAATGGAACTCAAAAACACATCACTTGGATGACAATGAAAGATAAAGCACGAATGAGAAGGCATTCAAACGAAATAGTAGATACAAATAATTGAGAAACGTATATGATGGCCTATGAAACATATATTTCAAACAATTTTATTATATCAAATTAATAATACTTATTACTTCTTTTTTACAGAAGGTATCAAATCAGATTAACACAATCACATGATTTTTTTTCAACAGCTTCACGTTTTATGTATAAGGATTTCAAAAACAAATGTTGTCTTTGAAATGCTACAATGTTGTAATTCAAGCACGAGAAGCAGTTTATCTACGCTTCTGGTCCTAAACTTGGAGCATTCGTATCTCGACAAAATAGGCCCATGAAAGCAAATCCTTTTGGGATTCCTCTAGTTCCATCAAGCCTTACTTATGGTCAGAATATGAGCCCAAAAGCCTTAAATCAGTTGCGGAGATTCCCTCTTCAGAAGGCAAAAAATAAAATAATATTCAGCTCCATTAAACATAACATCTCAGAGAAATGGAAGAGCCATTTGTCGCCATTATGATCTCAGTACCTTATATAAGACAGCATTTGAGAACTTTCAGTCTATGACAAATTTCGGTGTACTTGTCATTTTATGTATGCTATGAATTATTTTCTAGCTTTTGGCAACAGCAATTCAACATGAAAAACCTGAATTAGAAGTTCGCAAAACTGAATTACTTCGCAAAGAAGAAGAACTTAAAATTGAATTAGCAAAACTAGAAGATCAGTTACTTGAAGTATATAAATTCGTTTTGAATTAATAGAAAAAAAATTGTTCTTTTTTTCGAAAGGATTTGGCAAATGCAACTGGTAATATTTTAGAAAATAAAGAATTATTAGAATCACTAAATAAAACAAAAGAAAAATCAGCAACAATAACAAATTCTCTTGAAGAATCTGTCAAACTTGGTGACGATCTTGATAAAGTGAACAAAAAAAAAACGGATTCTATCAATAAAATATTATTTATACAATTATTTTAGGAAAGAAATGATTATTTACCACTTGCTAAACATGGTAGCAAACTATTTTTTGTTATATCCGATTTAGCTAAACTTAATAACATGTATCAATTCAGCTTAGCTGCTTTCTTACGTTTATTTCAACGTAATCTTGAACAAACAGATGTTAGTTATTTAAATAATAATTTATATTCTTAACATTGATTTATTATTTTATAGAAAAGCTCATCTCAAGATCGAACATTATCTTTAGGAAAAAATCAACTTCGTATGACATATACATATATTACTCGATCATTATTTAAATCTGATCGTCTAATGTTTGCAATGCATTTAGCACATGGAATGTTTTCAAAAAAGATTCCTGATAATGTAAATAAGACAAAAAAAAAAAGCAAAAAAATATTTTCTTTTGATAAATATATATTTATATATATTTAGGAATGGGAACATTTTATTGGTATATCAGTAGCTGATGCCAAAGAAACACGATCATTACCATCATGGGTTAATGAAGAACGTTCATATGATGTTTCAGCATTTAAAGTAAATATTAATTTATTGTAAAATTTCTCTATGTGAGCACCTCCTTGTATTGAACAGTTTAAAGGCTACCAAAGTAAATTTTGCTAGGAATGTCTCTCTCAAATATAAGTGCCTTCATAATCTGAATAGTGAGCACTTATTTCTGATTCGATGAGAAATAACAATCTCTGTAATGTGATCAATATAAGGAGATGAGCCGAAAGTTTCTAGACAAAATATTTGACAATATTTTTTTTACGTATTTAAACATATCGAAAATGAGTGAAGAATAATGTATTTGAATCAGAATTTTGTGCTCTTTCAGTATATATGCTTACAAGGGAACTACCCCAACTAATATACACCGTTTGATCTCATATTGGAACCCCAGGTAGGTATCGGTGAGACTATCAAATGTCTGAAAAGAACTCATCTTCATGAACCATTGCTGCCGAATGTAAAGTGCAATAAATCTTTTATAAAGTCCATTTCAAGGAAAATGGCTATTTTTCTGATTGTCACATTTTCAGTGAAAAATGAGCCCTTCATGACAACTCTACCATTTTCTAGTGGACTAACCAACACTCCTGATGCCTACGTCAATTCCGAGACTTGAGATCATCCTTAAGTACTACATATTTACAGAACAGATTTGATGTAGACTTGTCTTGAGTAAAATAAGATTTTTGCCTCTAGAGAAAACGTTTTTTTGATGGCTATCAAGCTTCATCGCTCAATACTCAAAAGTCACAGAGAAATTCTAAAACGATTGACGTGTGAATTTCCATTCAGTCGTGATTATTGTGAACAATGAATATAAAAAAAAGAGCTTATACAAGTCAAATCTCTAGAGAATGTCGAACAAAAAGATGAATAGCTCACAAGTGAGCCTATCCGCAGATGTCAAATCACTTTTTTATCAAGACGATGTTAATTTAAAGAGTAATAGAGAAGTGTGGTGTTTTTGTTTTTCTGATCTTCATTGTCAAGATACCGAAGTTTTACCAGATTTTTCAACAAAAACCTGTTATGCCCCTCAAATCACATGTAAAATCGATTTTCAACTTCAAAATTTCCCCAAATAAAGTTCTTAATGAGGTTGGTTGATTGTGAAAATTTTAGCTTTTCTAGTGAAGATAAATATGAATGAAATACGCTTTTAAACATGAGAGAATATTGAATATTTTAGGACATGAAATGATAGAAATGTTACAATTTTTTCAACGAACTAATCTTGATGAGAACTTTGTGTCATGTGAGCTGAAGGAAACCATTGTCGTTTATTGAAAAACTCAGTGAAACTTCGATAGCTCAAGAATAATTTCCTAGAAAACCAAACCATTCTAAACTTTTCTTTTACTTATTAAATAAACATCGTCTTGGTCAAAAAGCGATTTAAAATTTGGAGAGTTTTCCTCGTCAGGCATATTGTTTGAGCTATTCAAGAGTCATTCACATTCTTTTCCGGGTGTACTTTTGAAGTGCTCTGTAAGTTGTAAAAAAGAAACTGACAGCCTCGCTATAATGAACACCTGTAAAAGTGAATACTTTTGATTGATCTCGATGTTATGCTGTAATTTGACTTTATGATTTGTTTTTTTTAGGCGAATTTTCCTCAACTTTTTTCAAACCTTCGTTTTGATGATTCATCATGGTCAAAATGGAATTCAACAAATGAATGTGAATTATATTTTCCGCAAGATAAACAATTAACATCATTTCAACAATTATTAGTTATACAAGCATTTCGACCTGATCGTTTAGAAAGTGCTATGAGATTATTTGCATGTGATTCATTAGGAATTCCAGATATATCACCTGAAACACTAAATTTAAAAAAACTTTATTCAAAAGAAACAATTTCAACGGAATCAATCTTAATTCTTATTTCACCAGGTGCTGATCCATCAGCTGAACTTAGAGATTTAGCTACGCAAATAATGGGAAAAGATCGATATTCAGAAGTAAATCATTTTTACTTGTTTTTCTTTTTTATATGAAATAATTGATGTATTTAAAATTATTTAGATTGCAATGGGTCAAGGTCAAATGCAAATAGCACTTGATCATCTAAAGAAATGTTCAAGTCAAGGTACATGGTTATGCTTAAAAAACCTGCATTTAGTTACACCATGGTTAACAACATTAGAAAAAGTAATCCTTACTGATTTAATCAAGTTTTTATTTGTTACTTTTTTTTGTAAAGGAGTTAAATTCATTAAAACCACATAAAGATTTTCGTTTATGGTTAACATCAGAAGTTCATCCGAAATTTCCTACAATACTTTTACAATCAAGTATTAAAATAACATATGAAGCGCCACCGGGTATTAAAAAAAATTTATTACGTACATTTGAAATTTGGACACAAGATGAATTTGGTAAAGGTGGTGTTACACGTTCACAAACACTTTTTGTTCTTGCATGGTTTCATGCGATCGTACAAGAACGAAGAAAATACATTCCACAAGTATTTCATCTTTTTATTTGAAATTGAATAAGATATTGCATCAATGATTTTTTTTTTTCTTTGAGGGTTGGACTAAATTTTATGAATTTTCTCAAGCAGATTTACGTGCTGGATATGAAATTATACATCGATTATGTGAACGAGCTGATAGACAATGTTAGTATTAATTGAATTGATTTTCGAATTAGAAATAGTAGTATTTCATTCTGCTCACGATCGAAGGTTTCCGACCAACAACGACCGATTGAATGAATTTTTTTCACCGATAAATAGACTGCACTGAGATTAATCAAAGCATGAGAAGATTATGTTTCTTAATACCCGTTTCCGAAGTTATAGCTGTTTTTATAAAGTTTTAGCGTCGGAGCAAGATATTGATCAAGATATCTAATGAATGAATTTCAAACTGAAATTTTGTTTATATACACGCATCATAACTCTTAGAAAATTCTATAATTTTCAAGCAACATAAATGTTTTTGTCAGAAAATATTGAATTTCTAGGAAAACTTGATTTGTTTGACTTTTGTATGAGATATGAGCACGGCTTGAAAATTCAATATCTTTCATAGTAAACATTTATCTTGGCCAAAACTTTCAAGATCTGCTAAGGACTATCAAATGCATATATGGGTGAAATCTCAGATCGACATTTGATCATGAGATATCTTCATCAATGCAGTGTTGAAATGGTAAAAACTCATAATGAATAGTTATTATTTCAGAAAAGAAACTCAAGAGTACTTGTTATGTCAAGCTTTCACTAGAGCCATTGCGGTAAATAAAAAAATCAGTATTATCGAAATTTATCAGTTGAGTGCTTTTCACACTAGGTTAAAAGGAACGACTAAATTCATCTTCTTATATAGAATATTGGTTTGGAAATATGAACTATAAAATTATTTTAGTTTTAATCAAGAAATTTCGATTCTCTTTAACACATTCTGATTGCCAAGAAATAGGTTGCCTAGTTTTTCGTAAATCTACTTAGTGCATAACAAAAGTAGTGATTTTGGTAGATAAAATTTCATACGAAAGAGTTAATCAAGTTTTTGCTTCGACAAGTATGTGAGCCTGTAGCCAAGTGTAATCATACACTAATAATTTATTTGAAAACATTTGCTGAGGCAATTTTTCCAATAATTTTCGATTAAAAAATACATCAACTTGGTTATGGCACAACATGTAGTGGTTAGAGGTTGTTTGATTTAGGAATTTTATCAATCAGATCGAATACCTACAAAATCTGTTGTATACTATCTGCAGAATGAGGTCTGTATAAAATAATTATGATATGTTCTAATGCCGAATAGTAAAAGCAGCGTTATGCTCGTGTAGGTGAAAGTTATCATAATGACTTTCGATGTCTTGAGCACTAGTCAATGATGTTTGCGTGTTCATTCCATTAATAAGTAGTAAACATTCTTTTGAGACTAAATTACTACATTAAACTATAACGGATGGAGATTATTCGATTACAGTTCTTTTACTTCGAAGAATGAACTGATTTATGTATAGCATATTTTATCGCCGCATGTACTCGCTCTATTTCTTTAGTTAGACATGTTTAAAAAGAATTTTATTAATCAAAATAGTTGCTAATCACTATATTTTGTGTTGTAACCAAGACGATGAATTTTTGAATTAAAAATATTGATTATGAGTAATTAACTATGGCTACTAGATCAAATACTTATTGAAGCAAAAATTTAATTAATTCTTTCTTATGGGCTTTTACTTACCAAAAATACTAGTTTTGGATGCCCTAGTATGCGACGTTTTAACTCAATTTGAAATAAACTACGCCTATATTATTCAAAAATCTTCGTGTTTAACATTAAAGCAACTCTCTCATATTTCAAAACAATTAATCCTGTATAGATGAAAACGTTTCTTATTTAATTTCCATTTTAAAATCAAGATTAAACAATTTAATTTGTTAACAAGACATGTAAGAAGTACAAGAGAAAATCGTAGAACTACATGTCTAAAAACACAAAAAATCACAACTTCATTATCATAAGTGAAAGATAAATCATATGAATATTATCGACAGAATCAACAGATGTAAAATACGTAATCAGATTTGTAACAATAGAAGTAAAAGATCAATAAGTAGATATTATCATGTCTCTTTCATCTTACACATAGTTATTCAAATGTATATTCAATAACTATTCAATTTTCTTACTTTATTTTAGCGGGTGGTGAAATTCAATGGGATTATATTTATGGTTTATTTGATCAAGCTGTTTATGGTGGTCGTGTTGATAATCCTATTGATACAGATGTATTACGATCTTATTTAATGCAATACTTTAATTCAGCTATTATTGGTGGTTCAAGAGGATCAAAACATAAATTAGCACCGCATATTAATTTACCCAATTCACCAAACTTTAATGTTTGTTATTTAACACGAATAAAAATATAAATAAAAAAACTTTATTTTTTTACTATATAGGAATATAAAAAGATTTGTGAAGACTTAAATGATGATCAAGATGCACCGAGTCTATTTGGTTTACCAGCTAATATTGAACGATCTGCACAACGAATGAATAGTGCTCAAGTAAAGAAAAAAATTTACTTCAAAAAAAAAAAAAAAGAAGAAAATAATCAAACTGTTTATTGTTGTCTTCTAGATAATAAATTCATTAAAAATTCTTCAACGTACTGATGTTGAAGTTGAAAAATTTGATAAAGAAAAATGGAGTGCATTATTAACACCATTGCTTAACTTATGGAAAAAATTAAATCAGGTTATTAAAATTTCAATAAATATAAATTCTTTATTGATATTTATCATTTATAGGATACTGATTTTATAAAATTAAGAGTTCAACCACCAATTGAAGATGGTTCATTATCACCAATACAATCATTTCTACAATTAGAACGTTATAATGGTATTCAATTAGTACAAACAATTCATGAAAATTTAGCATCATTATCAAAAGTTATTCGAGGAATTAATTTAATTACAAATGAAATTCAAGAATATGCCAAAGATTTACTTCAAAATGAAGTAAGTAGAAAACAAAAGATCAATTCTTTCTAAAAAAATAATGTAAAATGGTTCTGTAATGAAAATGTTAAGTTATTGTGTTTTTCTCTCTGAACTTGTTTTTAATCACAATGATCTCTTCGAGTTTGTAGTAATGTCCTTCAACCAAATCAGGTATTCGACAATGTAAAAAAATTTCAAAGTACCAAAAAATTCTACTTTTTCACAATACTATATATATAAAAGCATAGGAATGAAAACCGATTCAATCATGATTGAACAATTTATTGTACTTGAAAACAAGTCACAAAAGTGGAAACATGATCTTGTTTTATTAAGAGAATTCGTTTCTAGTGAAAATTCATTTACAGATAATGACGAACGATATGAGAGAGTAATTGAATACATGGAGAAGAAAATTCACATATATTTTCGACGAAAATAGTGAGTATAAGTTTAATCGAAGTTTTGTGACTACTCTCAGGGTCTAGCAACCGAAGTCGAAGTTTAGAAAGCAATGAGTATATCTTCCCTAGCAACAGAAAGGAGTGAGAAGAGCAATATTCATAAGTTAGTTTTTCATAAAAGTCGAGGATAAAAGACGTTAGACATCTTAGTAACAGAAAATGGTGTTGAGCAGCATTAATAACAAGATTTAGATTGTTCTAGAACATTTTAAAGCTTTCGTTGAAATTCCAATTACTGAAATCCATTCATGAATGTTCTAAATAGTGTAGTTTCAGTTTTTTGCGCAGATAAAAATATATATTGGAGATTTTAAGAATGATACGAAGTGATGTATTGATTGACAGAAGTCGTCATATAATCAACATAAAAAAAGCATGAACTAATTAAGTTATAACTTCGGGGAATAAGCAATATCAGTGTTGTCTGAGTTTATCGAGGTATATAATGAATATATAGAACAGGCTTATTTATTAGTTAAACTAAGGGTTCGAATAATAATAACGTTAAATTTAAAAAAAAACCGGCGTATGGAAATGAAAAACAATGAGCGAATAAATACAAGACAAACAAAAAAATCGAGCGTCCGTAAAAGAAAAAAAAAATTCTAATTCGAATCGCAGAAATAAATAATATAGATCATTTCTCTGGCGACCTATTATCTTTGAAAAACAACTATAATTTACTAGAGATTTTTCACTTGGCGTATTTTGTATGAGTATAATGGAGCTGAAAAACATATGTGTTTCCACATATTGGTCCCGAAGGAGCTACGCTGACATGGTTTTTTTTCTTCCATTGAAATAACCGTTTACACTCAACATATTCAACATTCTTGCTAAAACTTTCTTTTGACTAGAACGTAAAATAATGGACTTCCTATTTGAGCGGTCTACCGTAAATAAAGTATCGTTCACCAGCTTTTAATATAATACAATATTTTGTTTACATATTCAAACAAATGAAACATAATGACTTTAATAAATTAAAGTAAAATATTTTTTTTTTCTATAGGGCATCCGGAAAGTCATCTACTAAAAATATTCGTTATATATATCCCACGCATTTTCAACTAAATAAGCTAATTTTATTCTTGAGCATAGAAAAAAAATCCGAATCTTTATTCATAAATCAGCAGCTTTTAGGTACGCTTGAAACCAAGCGCGATCTACTTCAAAACAGAAATTAGTCGTTGTTTTTGTCTCGTTACTTCCATGAGCAGTCAACCACAAAAACTATATTGACATCCAATGTTTTATTTAACATATTCCATTTTGTAAAGCTTTTCTCACTGATCGTTTTCGTAAAAGAAATGTTGAGATTCCTGAGGCGATTCGATGTTTTCAATTAATTTGGTTTTAATGTCGTTATTTGTTAATCAAAATAGAAATATTTCTTTTTTGAGAATGATCAGTACAAAAAGCACTCGAAAATGGCATATGTCAAAAAAATTTTCAATACTTTTGTGTTTTTATAAGTGATTACCCATGACAGAAATGGATAAGTCATGTACTCAAGTCATTTACAAAAGTCTTATGTAATTATTTTCAGCTAGTAAATATGACTCTTATTGAAATATAGTTCTATTCAAAAATGTTCTGATGACAAACTGACGTATTCAACGGAGACTTTTCAACATAAAATACATCGTCGTGTCTTTTTAGATGTAATGACTTTAATTGACTTTTTCTTGCAGTTATCTTGTTTTGACTAGCCATATGATACTTTTCCACGGAGAAAAATTCTTGATGAGTTTGCTACTGTATAGCCTAAACAGCACTAATATTTAAATTAGAGCCATCTCCTTTAACGGAAAATAATCCCAAGATTTTTCAAACGATTTGAGTGAGTATCTCACTCATCTTTGACTGTTGGAGAATAACTAGTATCCAAAATTAATCATAGTTGTCCGGCTTCTTGAGCAATTTTCTGTATAAAAACATCGAAAAGAAATTTGTGAAGCGTCGGAGAAGTTAAATAGACTACGTAAAAATCAAGTATCGCAAATAAATTATTTAACAAGTTGAGAAAATTTAAAAACATTGAGCAAATTGAATAATATTGCAAAAAAAACCAAAAATCTATCGTTTTATTTTTGGCGGAAATCGTCAACTCGATACTAATAGTTTTAAGTGATCGTACTAAATTTTTTTGCTTATGAAAGAAACACTTGACATTACATTTTACTATCAAGAAAAAAGTTAGCTCATGAGATCAAAATATGACGAACATATAGAAAAATTTTTATCTAGTATACGACTTTCTGAACCATTAGTACATTGATTTCCTAGATACTTCTCTTTGTTTCATTTTTCTAATAAATAATTTTATTGATAATAAACATATTGCTTAGACTCCTCAAACATGGCAAGATCGTTGGGAAGGTCCAACAGATTCTATGCAATATTTACGTGCTGTTGTATCAAAAGCTAAAGCAATGCAACAAATAGCAACATCAATAAAAGATCGTGATATATTTTCTCAAACAATTAATTTATCTGATCTATTTCGTCCTGATACATTTTTAAATGCATTAAGACAACAAACAGCACGAGAAACTAAACAACCTATGGATACCTTACTATTAAGTACGTCTTGGTCTGGTGAAGTTAAACATGGAAAAAATGTATCAATTAAAATCGGTGGTTTACAATTAGAAGGTTGTTCATTTGATAATGGACGTTTAAGTGAAAGTGCACCTGATTCACCAAGTGTTACAGCATTTCCATCATGTTATATTGCTTGGATACCACAAGTAAATTTTTGTTTCTGTTGAAAAATATTTATATTATTGATAAATTTTTTATTATAGGATGCTGGTCAACAAGAAACACGTGAAACAATATCATTACCAGTTTATTTTAATGCAACTCGTGATAAAATCGTAACACGTCTAAATGTTCCATGTAGTAGCGATAAAGACAAATGGCTACAATGTGGTGCAGCTCTTTTTCTTAAAAACATTTAAATAAAAAAAAACACTAATGAAACTAGCGTTTTATTGTATTCATATTTTGTTGATATTTTTATCACTGATGTCAATATGTTTATTAATAAAGAGAACCAATGATGAAGAAATAACCTTGTGCTTATATTGTATGATGGAATTTAATTATTTATAACGAACTCATTGTTTTGTAAACGATAAAGGGAAAAAACACTAGTAGGAAGTGAATCAGATAAATAGGAAAATTTGCCATAGTCAAGTATATATCAAGATTTAATTCAGTCAAAAAAGAAATCAATTAATGATTGATTTAATAATTCGAATATTTCGTGACATATTTCTATTTGCTTTGAGCCAGTTTAGATAATAAATTATATAAATGGGTTGTTTAAGTAGTTTTCTTTTTCTTTCTTCTGTCATTTTAGACGATTTTCATTCGAAAATATAGAGAATATATTAAAAAAAAAAGAAGGCATCGCTTAATGAGACGTGACAAGTTTCAAGCACGATCTTCGAATATGAAGTTAAATAACTAATCATTTTATGATTTTGTTGACAAACTGTGTCATAGAATGCGTTTCAAACAAACGGAAGCTCCTTTTCTTCGCCACCCCAGTTGCATTTCTTTCTTTCGAGATACTTTACAGACTACGAGCAAAGAGAGAAAGAAAGAAAGAGAGAGAATACAGAGAAACTAATCAGAAAGACACAAAAAGATCCGGAAATGCTATTTTCTCTCGCTTTATATATATTTGTGTGTCGTTTTTCTCATTTTATTTTTGTGGTGTTTGACATTCAAAACAATAAAACAACGAAGAACGATACAAACGATCAACAACTACTAATCAAACTACAACGACAATCTTATTCTTAACATTATCCAAGTCTTTGAATTATTAAAAACATGAAACTTGTCCATAACAATTTTTTCTTTCTCTTTGCAATCATTATTGTAAGTAATAAATTATTTATTTGGTATAGAAAAAAAAAATTCTATTGATTTTGGTTCAAATCATTAAAATAAATTGAGTTGAAAACAACAAAATGATTTGCAGTTTGTAACTCTTATGATCACAAATTTTCTTTTCCATTAGACTTTTTTTTTGAGCTTCAATGCACTATTTCTAAATTTCGCGCGTGTCAATTTAGTTGATATATCGATAAATAATAGAAAAGACCGACAGGACGGATGCTTCCAACTCATTGCTTTTTTATGCATTGTACTAGTTTCCGTTTGAAAACGGTATTGTGTTGTTACTTCCTGCATATTTCTATATTAGTTTGTGTTTTCTTTCATCATAGATTGGCAGTCAACTGTTATTTGTTTGCACAGAAAATTCAGCAGTAAATATGGATTCCAATTCTCTTGAATTACACAAACGTTATCGATTTGACAAGAAAGATACAACAACATCAATCGATAGTAATGAATCCAATGATCATGACAACAACGATGATTATGCCCTATTATTGAATAAGCGATATCGTTTTGATAAACGTTATCGATATGACAAAAAACGATCGAATTTCGATGTTATCAATAAACGATATCGTTTTGACAAACGTTACCGATTTGATTAAAAAAATTGATCAAAATAATGGAAATAAAAATCAAAGACAGCATGATAAAAAAAGCCAAAATAGAAGAAAAAAAAGAAAAATTTAAATAATTTCCGTTTTTGTTAATAATACACATACTTCTAATATTGATATGTTCCGCAATTTGAAAACAATATATAAATCACTATCTCTATGTGTTTCCTACTGTGCATATCTGAGAAAAACAAAAGACCACATATTGTTTTTTTTTTCTGAATAGATCTTAGAATAATTACGAAGAGTCTTATGAGAATAAAGAAAAAAGTCACACTTCGTCTTCAAAGTGGATTCGTGGTGAATGATATTGTTTTAAACATGAAGACGGAGAAGATGAGTGTACTTTCGATTGTTCATTAGTATTAGTCTTTACAATTGCTGGTGGCGATCGAGGAGGAGAAGGGCAAGAATCAGGAGGACGTTGAAGAACTTGAGAATCAGTCGCATGTGGTGAGAAGGTAAGTGGAGTGGCCAACGTTTTATATTCTTCATTCCCGACCGTTGAAATTTGTCGTGGTGAATCCAAAGGAATACCACTAAAAAGAGTTGCTATATCTTCAGGATAATGTGTTACTTTACATGTAGTCATTAATAATATTCCATCAATAATTGATAAAATAAAAGCAATCCACGCAATTATAGTTGAATAACCAATTTCAATGTTAATACTTGATAGAAATCGATTAATAGATACTTTTGCATCTTCTGATAATTTATAAATTTGACTTGATTTATAATGTCTTTCAATAGAAGTTAAATATTCAGTTGATTCATATTGCAAATGATTCAATGCAGTTAGTAGATTACTTAAAATAAATATCATTGCAAATAATGATGATAATACACCAAAACATTTAACTTGTAAACGTTGATGACGATTTTTAAGAAATGGAAATAAACCATAAAGTAAAGCAGTTAAAGACAAACTAATTAATGCAATTACTCCAAGTACATGACATGCTTTAATATACGTTGGATAATGACAATCACATGAAGATATTGAGTTAATATTTAAATGTGAATTTAATGAAATATCAAATGTTGCTCGAAGATAATCATTACTAATATCAAAATTTTTTTCACCTGTTTTTGAACAAAACCGATAATATTGTAAACTATGACATTCATTAAAATTTTTATCTTCATAGGATGGTATAAAATTTTTTGTACATGTTTTATGTTGTTTATTTAAACCCAAGTGAAGAATTTCATTGTGTCCAATAAATAATTTTGTTGCATTATCTAAAAGATATTCACAACGTTGAAATAAACCATAAGAATGACGAGTAAAACGGTGAACAGAATTAAAATATATTAGAATTTCAGTACGAATAAGAGCATCAACACCATCAACATATAATGAATGAGTAATGGGAGAAACTTCTTTCCAATGTGGTGTAAAAAAAGCAATACATTGTAGCCCAATTGTAATTAATGCAAGAAAAACACCAATAACAATACCAACAGTTAACTGTGTACCAAAAAAATGTATTTTTTTGTCAAGTATACTTTCTTTTTTTGGTAGTTTCGCAGGAATATTAAACACCGAACTGCTGCTTCTACGCTTTTCTAACATCCGTATTCTTCGTATTGTCAATAAACATCTTTATGATAAATATCACAATAATATGTTAACGGTGAAAATCTGTATTAGAGAAAAAAAGAAATATTATTTGATAGAATTATGTCAATTTTTTTTTTGTTCTATGAAACGAGAAAAAAAAGCTTTTTTTTATTGCTGTGGCTTATAAAGCTGTTCAATATCTGAAAACAGAGAGTTCGTTTGGCGCGAGACTTAAAAGTATTCGATAAAAAAATTTATTGATTATATATAAGATGAAATCATTTTGATATCAATGATTTTCGAAGAATATTCAAAAAAGTGTATGAAGATAGTCTGCCATTCCTATGAAGTTTTGATAACCACTAAAAATACTTACTTCAAAAACAACAAAATGTCACACTATTTAATCGAACCGAAATACAATTTTATTTGTTGAGCATTAGCATGTGAGGAGATAGTCATTGAAATTGTTTTGTGAACTACAGATCTCATGTCCATCTCTTCAAGTGACATATCAAAATTAAAATCTCATCAGTATTGCTGATCGTTTTCGAACATTTTTTAAAATGTTTTGCAACTATCATTGATTTTATCTTGTTTAGTATCGTGGTAAAAAAACGTTTCCATTATTTTTCTTTCGATTGCAAAACATCGTAGATCATTAGTCGCTTGCATTCTCAATTTATTCAATATTTAACCGAATATGTGCCAGTTTCGCGTCTACATTAGTAGTTAATTATAATTCAACTGTCACCACTTGAAAAGTCTCTAACCGAAATAATAAATGAGATAGACAAAAGTTAAGTACTCAATAAGACATTCAGCTGTTTTTTTTAGAAATGAAATATTGACTTTATGAAAAATATTTGCGAATCAAATTTGCGATGTGATTTGTTTTCGTATTTAGACAAATAATAATAATTAATGTTTTCTTTTTTGCAAATATTCTTGTCATTCTCGTACTCTACGAAATTGACAAAACTTTTTTTTCATTATCATTTTTCATTCATCAATCAAGTTTATGTATAAAAAGAAAAAAAATTGTTTTTTTATTATTCCTTCTCAATTTGTCATATTTTTTCTTTCTGACTGCACTTGCCTACCTTCGTGCCATCATTATCTTGTTGTATTCTTCTAATTTTTTTTCATACAGTAGGTCTAATGTTAAATATTGATGATATGTTCGTATTTATTCGTAAAAATCAAACTTTTTTACACAGCCAACAAGTAGATTTTATTATATTTGATCGAGCTGCAGTATATAAACACGTACCTCAACACAGAACAGCAGTAGAATGTTTGTAGTCGTGTTGGCAACAGCGATAAATGAAGTCTTCACCACAGCTAAACTACCTGTTCTTCGTTCTTACTATTCACGTTCTTTTTCGGCCCTCTTTTTCGTGCTAGTCCATTCTTTCCTTTTCGTCGACAACACGAAAAAAAAGAAAAAAAAAAGTGAGAAGAGAGAACTTTCGTCCTTATGTCAGAAAAAAAGATGCGTAGACAAATAAGAAAAAGAAATCATTTGATCATATTCATCGAACAAAAAGGTTTGATAATCTGATCATCGAAAGAAAAAAACATTGTTGACGATGTCAATATACACAAGGATATTTATCTGTGATTCTTTTTCTCTTATTTCTCCTCTGATTTCACCTGTGTTTCGTTTTATAACCTTCTGTACGCATTCACATTTCAGATTTGATCCAGATCATTGCTGATCAAAATTTGATAGATTAAAAATCTCTGACACATTGAGAATTAGGTCAGTGCAGGAAAAAAATATCTGTTAACTTATATTTCATGCATAGACAAAATACAAAATTCGATTTATTTTTTTATCAGATTCTCACAGTAAAAGTTCGAACATTTTGCATTTTACACATTTATACATTAACTTATCAGTAAGTGAAATATATTCATCATTAACTTTCATACATATGTATATACAAGCATGATGCAATCATGTTTCTACTATTTCAATATTGACCTTTTCTCTATCAGTCATATTAACAAATCAATTATCATTGAAAAAACCTATTAAAAAAATTGGTAATGATTGTTATATCAAACAAAGGAATGTTTTGGCATTTGTAGACGTGATATGTTTTTCATCGTGAATATAAATAATTTCAAAAGGGTATTGCGTTGTTTTTCTTTCGTCAATTGATACGAGAGCACCTGTTCGAAAAATTCGATTAAATTCAAACCACAGCTACCATCTAGTATATAAATCGTATTTATCCATATCCATTGCAAACTAAATAAGAAAATATAAGCTTTCGATCATTTTATGAACTAAAGCAACAAAGTATCATTACTTATTTTTATAATATATATCAAAGTAAAAACTCGAATGGTTGCTTTAATGAATTTCAACGAAGTTCATCACATTTTACATTCATTTATTTGCGATTGCACAATACTTCTTGTACGCATTTTTGTAAAGAATCCTTAGCATTTTTAATTCAATAATTACCATATCAATGAGTTTAAGCAAAATACTAAGTGTGCCAAAAAAAAAGCAGCGTATATTTATAACAGAAAAAGTATTTATTATTGATTACTTCATACTTGGCATAAAAAGACATACTTAAAGAATTTATATTCAATAAATAAAAAAATATGAGTTTAATACGTAATAAAAAAAATAAGAGTTAAGACTTATAATTATGCATTGTTCTACGCAAGTTTTTACACTTCATCATCATTTAGATATATACTCAGTTATCTTGTCATAAACTATGATATAGTAAAAGAATCTGCGGTACATAGAGCAAACCTATCTCATTCCACTCTATTGGTAATCAATAATTAACATTGTACAATAGAAAGATGAATCCATAATTAGACACACTATTGTTCATATATTGATGATGTAGAAGGAAAACGAAATTCTATGTTAAACTATAGGAATTGAAATATTACATACTTACTTGGCTTTAAAATAGAGTGCTTTGACATTTCAGAAATTGATTCATACTGTATTATGATAATAAATAGTATCAGAGTCATGAAGAAAGTTTTGTTTCAAATAAAATTATGAGATATTATCAATTATCAGACCAATATAAGATCGGGTAATGTGAAGACATTGAAAAGTAGGAATAAAGTCAATGACAGAACAATCATTTCATTTGTTGTCCTAAAATTTATTTTTCAGAAATATATAAAAGATGTAACTAAAATAGAAGTAAGCTGTTAAACAATTATATAGTTGTGAATAAGTTCATTCTTGAGTTCACTAGTTTATCACTATCTACTAAAAGCCATCCATGTATTATATGAAAATCAAGTTGGATGAAGACATAAGTTATTTTTTAAATCAAGTGAAGATAAGCCAATTCATCGATGAATTTGTCATTGTTGGTTTTCTTTCGTCCATAAATATTGTCTACAGTAAGCAAAATCAGAATCGGAA